TAATGCCCTTTTTGTACTTTTCCTTCAGTTTAGTAGCCTTCTTGTATTGGCTACTTGTCATCTGCTGCAGTATTATTCCACATTTTCCCAAGTTTCTTTGTGATATCACCAATGGAAAGGCCAGGATGTTCTGTGATTTGGGGGGCAATAATAAGGCCTCTTGGGCTGGAGGGATGGCTCAGTGGTCTAAAGCACCTACTTAGAACAAGCTTAGCAAAGCACAAGGACCACGGTTCAATCCCCCAGCACCACATGCCAGCCAGCCCCGCCCCCTGGTGGGCTGAGCTGGCTACACACACACACATAAAATAATAATAAGGCCTCTGGTGCATTGGGATCCTTGAACTTCCATGTCTTGGAATTGTCCTTTCTTTAGCAGACATGATCTTCCACCTCTGAGCACTTACACAGAAGTTAACAGAAATATCTGTGTGCTGGGGCTGGTGAGATGGCTCAGTGGTCTAAAGCACCTACTTAGAACAAGCTTAGCAAAACACAGGGACCGCGGTTCAATCCCCCAGCACCACATGCCAGCCAGCCCTGCCCCCTGGTGAGCTGAGCTGGCCACACACAAAAATAAATAAATAAAATTTAAAAAAAAAAAATCTGTGTGCTGCTTGTGCTCCTCTTTGCAAGTCTGCACAAAGAATGCATATGATGACATTTTGCCTCTCAGCTCAAGATCTCCTTTGCCCACATTTACTTTTCCTCTCAAGACACAGAGTTGCCCAATGCCTGTCAGGCTCACTTGCCCCAGTGCTGTCTGTGGAGCTCAATGTACTACCTCTTAAATTTTTGTTCCAGGAATGGAGTTTGGCTTCCAACTTTACAGTTGGGATTTAAAAGTTAGTCACTTGGGAAAAACCAATACTGGGGTTTCTGGTCAATTTCACATAAATACCCCCCTTTCCCTGTCAAGTGGAGTTGTAAAATTCCTATAGTGGATGCTGGAAACCCCCTGTAGTGCTGAACACTAAATGCATCTTTTGTTTTACTTTATAAATAAGGCATGGTAAGATTAAAAACAAACAAGATGATCATACTGTAATACAAGTGCCAGCATCACTGCTGTTGTACTTTGGGGCACTATTGAGTAAAATTAGGATTTTGGTCATGAGCCCTTTATGACAGTTGATCTCGTACTGTGGCTATTGCAGGATGGGCAGACATGGGACAGGAAATGCAAGTGGCAGGCAGGATGGCACATGCCTTTACACAGAATGGTTTCCAGTTTAAAACATGGAAAAACAAACCCCCATGTAGTGTTCATTTCTGGAATTTCCCACTTCATATCTTCAGGCTGCAGTTAGCTGGGTAACTCAGACCATGGATAAAGGGGACAATGGTAGAATGTTCAATAGATTCATAATGACAATTGCTGAGCAGCTGGGAAGAGTCTCAAGCAAATTTTTAAATAGATGATTAAGTCAGGCCTGTGTACAATAGACTAAATAGGTTGGATGACCTGAACTGGATATTAGAGCTGACAGTAGTTATGTGCTTAGGTACACACCTAATCACATCTACTTGAGAAAGCCTGAAAGGAAGAGTACAAGTTCAAGGCCAGCCTAGGAAGCAAAACCTGTATCAAAAGTTAAGGGGTCAAGTCAGTTGTGGTGCTGCATGCCTGTAGTTCCAGCACTTGGGAGGCTGAGGCAGGAAGTTCACTGAGCTTGAGGTCAACATGGTCTGTACAGTGGAGAATTCAAGGCCAATATGAACAACACAACACTGTCTCAAGAAAACTAATCAACCGTATATCTAAACTGTAAATAAATAATACATATATATATACACACACACAAATACATGGGCTGGTGATAAAGCTCAGTAACAGAGCAGCTGCGGGACCCTGGATTCAGTTCCTGATGCCGTGAAAAACAAACTGATTTCCAGTGTGCCATCCTGTACTGGCCAGTAACCACAAACAGCTATTCAAATTAAAAATGCAGCTTCTTGCTGGGTGTGGTACCACACACATGTAATCCCAGCAGTAGGGACTATAGGGTGAGGCAGGTGGATTCTTGGGTGTTGCTTCTCAGCCTTAGCCTTTTCTCTTTGCATTCTTTGACTACTCAGTCATTCCTGATGTAAATATCTCAGAAACCATTCATAAGCAGAATTTATCATATATTCTTATACAGTTTTTTCCTCTTTCTAGATTTTTTTGAGTTGTCTTCCATTGTTTTCATAGTAACTGCATACCTACCTCAACCCTCCCAAATATCAAAATTCTAACATTTGAGTATTTCCTAGAGTACTGAGCAGATTTACAAAACAGCATTATGCTACCATGGACTTGGAACTTTCACTTCCACTGGCTTCCATTTTGCTTCTGTGCATTTCCATGGTACAAAGACTTTTTGGTTTTGAGTTTCCCTTGCCTAACCTCCCAAATGCTGGGATTACAGTATGTACCACCACACCCAAATAGAAACGCTTTATATTCATTGTTGTTCAGTCAACTAGCCATAAGCTGTGGCTACTGAGTACTAAATGTGACTGGTATAAATGAGGAACTGCATTTTTATTTATTTTCGGGCCTTGAGCTCACTTTGTAGCCCAGGCTGGTCTCAAGACTTCTTTCTCCTACAACCTCCCAGATTGCCGACATTACAGGCATGTGCTACTATACATGGCTAAAGCCATGTTTAAATGCATCCATTTTGTAGTATTTATGAACACTGGAATTTGTAGTATTTATGAACACATGAACTTCTGGAGTCGAGAAAATCCTAAGAAGCCAGGCATAGGGATGTGTACCAAGAGTCCTAGCTATTGAGAGACTGAGGGAGGACAGCCCAGGAGTCTGGGGACAACCTGGGCAACCTGGAGGGAAGGAAGAAGGGAAGAGGAGAGGGAGACAAAATTCTAAGATTTTTTTTACTTAACTATAGCATTGTTGGCTTCAAAGACCAAATCTTATAAAACTATAGAAGGCAGCATAAAGCCTGGACTTCATGAGGATTAAATAAAATCCTGCATGTAAAGCACCTGGAACAAGGTAAGGACCAAATAAATGTTTTTCTTTTAAATTTAAAGCCACCAGGTAATATTTTATAATACAATTTTTGTTCAAAAAATTTAACTGATCACTAGCAGTGAATTTTGTTTTCTTTTTTTGAGATAGGATCTCCCTATGCAATCCTGTCTCAGCCTCCGAAGTGCTAGAATTACAGGTATGTGCCACCATGCTTAGCTCTTTGCAATACAAATTAAAACTCAACCTCTGGTCCAATACCTAGTTTCCCAGAGAATCAGCTTTGAGAATTATGTTGTAAAGATCATGCAGTACATGGGGATATAGCACAGAGGCACAGCCTCTACCTGAACCGAGAGATCATGAGTTTGATTTCTGGTACTAAAAAAGTTAAAGAGATCATATAGTATTAAAGTTTTAATAAAAATATAACATTTAAAACTATTTACTCAAGAATTGAATTATCAGAAGACCAAAGTGAGAAACATTTTAGCCAAAAAAAGGAGTTATTTTGAAAGAGACAGTCCAGAGACTATCTAATATATTAACGGCAGTTTTCTCTGGGAACTCTAATACTTTTATTTCCCCAAACCAGTTATGAGGCTGCATCAGTGATCTCGTAGAAAGTGATCTGAAGTAGAGTAATGGGAATGAACAGAACCATACTGATTCTACTTTCCACAATTCTCTCAAGTCCATTCATTTTCAGTTCATCACTGGTGAAGCTGTTTTTTTAAGGCAGGGTCTTGATAAATGGCCTATGCTGGCCTGGAGCTTGTGATCCTCCTGCCTCAGTCTCCCAACAAGTAGCTGGATTATAGCCGTGCATCTCAAATGGCTGTGTCAGTTTTTAATTTAAGACATTAGTAGGGGCTGGGGAGATAGCTCAGTAGAATAAGCACTTGCCTGGCAAGCGCAAGAGCTTGAGTTTAATTCCCGGTGGCAAGCCAGGAAAGGTAATGCACACCTTTAAGATATTTGGAGGCTAAGATAGGAAGACAGCCAAGTTCCAGGGTAGCCTCAGCAAATTAGTGAGACCTGGTCTCTAAAGAAAGAGGAAAAAGGGCTGAGGATATAGCTGATATGTCTCTGCCTTCAGTCCTCAGAACAGCAAAAAGAGAACCAGAATGATCAGAAGCAGCAAGTTTTTAGTCCCCCTCAACTCCAAAAGCAAAAAAATTAAAAATCATGACAAAGTATGCGAAAACCATTCCAAAACTTAACAGAAGTTGAAGCTGGTTTGTCCCAAACTGATTCTTAATGCTTACCAAATGCCATTCCATATGTAAAATATGTGAAGAATACGGAGTGGTAATTCAAATGTATATCAAGTTCTCTTCAACTGGAACACATGGACCAGAAGTGGTTGAGATTTTAGGTTTTCACATTTCAACTATTTGTACATAAAACATGAGCTATCATGTGGACAGGACATCTATTCATGTTTCAGAGGAACTTCATGCAATACCATCCTTCTGGAAGGCCTGTAGTTTGACTGTGACCCGTCATGAGCCAGTGTGGAATCTTCCGCTTGGGGCATTCCATCAACACCTATGAATGTTGGATTTTGAATGAAGGGTGCCCTACCTGTATGTGGTGTAACACTGAAGTTTTCACTGCCATTTAGACTATTAGTTTACTTTTTGGCATACAGAAACTCCTTGCTTTGAGTAGCTCGGTCATAGAGCTTCTACCTAGCATACACAAGGTTTGATCCCCAGTACTGAAGGAAAAAAATAACTGGCTGCTGTGCTGCAACCTTGCTGCCCCAGCACTCTGGGAGGCTGAAGGAGAGGGACTGCTTAGCAACTTAGCAAAACCCTGCCTCAAAACATAAAGTAGGGGCCGGGGAGATGGCTCAGTGGCATAAGTGCTTGCCTGGCAAGCCCAAGAACCTGAGTTCAATCCCTGGTTCCACCCAAAAAAAACCCAAAAAACAAAAAACAAAACAAAACAAAAAAACCCCATAAAGTAAAAAAAAAAAAAGCTGGGATGTAGTTCAGCAAGGTTTTGAGTTCAACCTCCAGTACTGCAAAATGAGTAAGTGAAAGAAATATAAAAAATAATCCTACAGTCCACACTACAATATGACTAACAACACCACAACAGAATTTGGCTTAAATGAGATCAAAGTTTCAGAGTCAAGTGACTTGATTTTAGCCCAAACTCACTCGCACTACAACCAAGAATGTGGAAAGCTTCTCTTCCCCGTCTCCAAACTGACATTGTTAAGTCATAATTAATCCAACTGATATGTAACTGAATAATATTTCTTTCCATGGCATGACATTATTTGAATATATCTGAGGAATTTACGTAACAGGTTAAAGAACAGAAGTAAGAGGTAATGGGTGCTTCAGTACCACCCATATTGTCCACTAGGACCACAGTGTGGGCAACGGAGTGCAGATTCATGGCAGTGGTTCCTTGAATGAAACTCTTCAGACAAAATCTTCTACAAACACAGATTTTTGCAGTGTCCAAATCTTGGCAAAGATGAAAAGGAATGATATGAGCAGCATATGGAATCCTATTGGAAAAAAAAAAAAGTACATTACCAGATGAACAGAACTTCATATATAAGTACAGGAATTACTAGGACATTGAATTATGAGAAAAAACATAATAATTTACTTAAGTGGACTCAGTTTATTATTTTCCTAAATGGTAAAAATGGGATAAATGCTGGTAGGCTGAGGCAAAAGACTCACAAGCTTAAGCCCTGCCTGGACAATTTAGTGAGATCTTATTTCAAAATAACAAGAGGGAGTGTCTGGAGTTCAAAGAAAAGGCCCTGGGTTCAATTTTCAGTTACCCCACCCCACTATCATCTTAAAAGGGTCTATGCCAGCCATGGCAAACCTTTTAAAACTCCCAATGATACAAACAGCCCACTGTGACCTATATGCCCTGGGTTCATCACTATTGTACACCAATCCATAAAGTACTTTTCAGTAGAACACTTTAATGATGTGTATTTCTCATCTACACTACCTAAAAGCATATCTACAGCTAATGCAACACTGACTGGTCTCTGTCAGATAACAAAATTTATAAAACAAATTGATATTTATTGATAATTTTTATGAGCCAGACACTGTTCTAGGGATTTGTATGTACAGACATGTAGGGGGCAAATGACTCTTGACTTAGGGGCCAATGCCTTAAACTAGTGGTTCTTACACTGTGATCCCCTAACCAGCAGCATCACCTGGGGACTGGTCAGCAGTCTTTTTATTGACTGGTTTGAGACAGGTCTCACTATGTAGTTTAGGTTGGCCTTGAGCTCACTATGTAGCTGGGGCTGGTCTGGAACTTGCTAGGATTACAGGTGTGTGCCACCCACAACACTCCACAGACTATCTTCTTTGAAACATGATCTCTCTACCAGTTCATAACACTCAATTCTGTGTTACATCTTAGCTTTCAAACCGATATGAAAGCATGAACAAAATAAGTAACTATTGGTCAGTCTCAAGAAACTGTGTTCAAAGGTAAGCGGAAGAGACAGCTACTCACTCTAATGACAAATGCTTTGGCTTTATATTACTTCATTTATCTGCACAACTCTGTGAAACAGGTAGTATTCTTTTCATGAATAAGAAAATTTAATCAAAGAGGTTACTGAGTTCAAAAGTTAGCCTGAACTGCACAGCAAGAACCTGTCTCAAAAAATGAGAAAATTTTATAGAAAAGAAAAAATTTGCTAAAGTTACATGAAGGGGCCAAAGGCAAGTTTAACTCTAAACACTGCACTCTATCATTATGCCAAAGTGGAGTTCTCAAACTTCAGGATGTATCAGAAAGCTGGGCCCATCTTTTGGCTCTCTGAGCAGCACCGTGGCGGTAGGCAAGAACAAGCGCCTTACGAAAGACGGCAAAAAAGGAGCCAAGAAGAAAGTGGTTGATCTATTTTCTAAAAAAGACTGGTATGATGTGAAGGCACCAGCTATGTTCAACATAAGGAATATTGGAAAAACACTCGTCACCAGAACCCAAGGAACCAAAATTGCATCTGATGGGCTCAAAGGTTGTGTGTTTGAAGTGAGCCTTGCTGACCTGCAGAATGAAGTTGCCTTTAGAAAATTCAAGCTAATTACTGAAGATGTTCAGGGCAAACACTGCCTAACTTCCTTGGCATGGACCTCACCCAGGACAAAATGTATTCCATGGTCAAAAAAAATGGCAGACCATGATTGAAGCTCATGTTGATGTCAAGACTACCGATGGTTATTTGCTTTGACTGTTCTGTGTTGGCTTTACTAAAAAACGCAACAATCAGATACGGAAGACCTCTTATGCTCAGCACCAACAGGTTCGCCAGATCCGGAAGAAGATGATGGAAATCATGACCCAGAAGGTGCAGACAAATGACTTGAAAGAAGGGGTCAATAAACTGATTCCAGACAGTATTGGAAAGACACAGAGAAGGCTCACCAGTCTATCTACCCTCTTCATGATGTCTTCGTCAGAAAAGTAAAAATGCTGAAGAAGCCCAAGTTTGAATTGGGAAAACTCATGGAGCTTCATGGTGAAGGTAGCAGCTCTGGAAAGGCTACTGGAGATGAAACTGGAGCTAAAGTTGAACAAGCTGATGGATATGAACCACCAGTGCAAGAGTCCGTTTAAAATCCAGATTTTTAATAGTGATAAAGTCTAGGGCTGGTGAGATGGCGCAGTGGTCTAAAGCACCTACTTAGAACAAGCTTAGCAAAGCACAGGGACCGCGGTTCAATCCCCCAGTACCACATGCCAGCCAGCCCCGCCCCCTGGTGGACTGAGCTGGCCACACACACACACACACACACACACACACACATACATAAATAAAATTTAAGAAAAAATAAATAAAGTCTATTTGTGATTAAAAAAAAAAAAAAAGAAAGAAAGCTGGGCCCACTCCATTTCTGATTCAGGTCTGGGGTACAGTCACAAACCTGTATCTCTAACAAGCTCAGAATGATGTTGTGGCTGCTGCTCAGGGGATTACACCTTGAGGGACAATGCCATTCGTTCAACCATTTATTTATTAAGTGTCCACTGTGTGCCAAAGGGGACACCGTGGCTGGGACAGTGATGGATCTTTCAGAGCTTTCAAGGGTAACAAGTAGCCTGCTGCAGCCCACGGGCTATGGGTTCACCACCAATGATTCAGGGAAATAATGAAAAGAACACAAGTCTCACAGATCTTACAATCTTGTGGGGAAAAGTTGACAGTAAACAAAAGCTAAAAAATACATTAGGTCAGGCAATATGTATTATGATCAAAACCCAAAATGACTCATACACACCAAAACCAAACCAACCAAGCCCTGTAGTAAAACCCTTCTGGAATAACATCTGGGCAGAGAACTGAATGAAGTGAGGGAGTGAGCAAGCATTGAGATTTACTAGAGGAAAACCATTCCAAGCAGAGGTAAGGGACATCAAGAATGCTATGGGGGCAGAGGGCACATGTAAAAAAGCATTCTGATGTGTTATGTTCATGTACTAACTCCTCATACTGAATGTAACTATTATACACTGCAAACACTGTGCTACTAATGATAAAAATCTTGAAATAAAACAAAATAAAATTTAAACCAGGTATGGTGGTTCATATCTGTAATCCTAACACTCAGAAGGCTGAGGCAGAAAGACCTCTCTGAATTTACAGCCAGCCTGGGCCACACAATGAGTTTGAGGCTAGTGTAAACTACATAGTGAGACTGTCTCAAAACAAGAAAACCCACAAAAATGAAGGCTAGTAGAGCAAGGCGTTGGGGTGGACACAGCACTAGAAGCTTTCTCTGACTGTGACTCTTACTGACTGCGGCAAGAGTACGATAGAGCTACCAAAGTACCACATTTTATAACTATGATAACCTTACCTATTATATAGTATTGTTCGTGCAGATAATTCCAATAAACTTAATGGTACTTGTAGCTTTATAACTGGAAGGGTTTTTGGTGGTTCAAAAGTATTTCCAAAAAGATCCAAGTACTCAAGAGATAAATTTTTAAATTCACTAGGTAAAACTGGAAGTTTATTTCGAGCTGCTGACAAAAAACGAAGGTGTTTTAGCTGTCCTATCTTGAAAGGAAGTTGAATCAATTCATTATCATCTAGCTTTAAATCTGTAAGTTCCTGGAGTTGGCAAAACTGCACCGGAAGTGCTTTGATTTTGTTTTTGCTGAGATCCAGCCTTCGAAGGGACTTCTGGAGTGCAGACAGACAAAAGGCCACACTGAATGACTCCAAATGATTGTCACTCAGGTCAAGTTCTTGAAGGTGTGTGAGGTCTCCAATTGTGGCAGGCAGCTTTTTTATGTGGTTATGACTCAGGTCTAATCTTACAAGGTTTTTTAAACAAAGCATTCGCATGTCAACTCGCACAAGCCCACAATAAGAAGTCTGAAGATGTTCCAGGGAATATGGAAAGTTCTTGGTTAGGGGATATTCTTTTTTGCATGTGATAACCATTTTAGTTTTAAATTTTTCAAATTCTGAAGTCTTCACTGGTGTGATCATCGAAAGTGATGCGTTGACATCACAGCCTCTATGAGCCAGTCTCATGGCTGAAAGCAAACTCTTTAAACTGCTGGAATTGGCCTGAGAAAAGAACAAACAATTATAAAACCCCTTTTAGGTAATGCATTCAGGCTAGTTGTTCCAATAACAAATACTATATATAGTCCTTTAGTGGAAAAAAGGACCAATACTATAGTTCTGTAGTTACAAAATCATTGAAATTGGCTGTAAAACATCAATTTTTAATTTTTTCTTTTCTTCCTTTTTTGTGGTACCAAGGATCAAACTTGGGACCTTGTGCTTGCCTGGCAGGTGCTTATGCTGTTAAGCTATATCCCTGGCCCAAAACAAGAATCCATTTTTTCTTTTTTAGTACCTGGGATCGAACTTAGGACCTTGTGCTTACCAGGCGGGCATTTATGCCACTGAGCTATCTCCCTGGCCCCTAAAGTTTTAGTATTTTATTTGATCTAAATTTCAACTTTTTATGGGGAAAGGAGGGGGGGGAGGGTAGGAGAATGGAAAAAAGGAAAACCAGGTTATAGCATGTACAGGTACAAATTTTCTATGATGATTATGATGTTATGATCATGTATATCCAAAATGCACCAATAAAAATCTAATGAAAAAATAAAATTTACATTTACACTATAATTAAAATATAAGTAACATAAATTTTAAAACTTCTGAAGTTTAAAAGGGGATCCTAAGGCAGGAAAGTAGTAATGATTTAAGATCTCTGTTGTGAGTCTGCAGGTTAGTTCAACTGTTTAAGTGCCTGCTCATGCAAACGCAGTCAGGTGCAGGGGACCGCAGTTCAATCCCCAGCTCCACATGCCTTACCAGACCTGCCATTGAGACAGCCCAAGCCAGCCAAAAAAACAAACAAAAAAAATCCTTCTGAGATCTGTGTTTAAGAGCAACTAACCCAAATCTTCAACACCTCTGACACACACAGGTCAGGCCTGCTGAGTACTGCAAAATGCCCAGGGCACCATTCACAAGCCCCAGGAGCTGTGCAGAGTAAAGACCTTCAAAAGCAATAGAGTGGGGGCCAAGGAGATAGCTCAGTAGAATAAGTGCTCGCCCGGCAAGTACAAAGGCCTGAGTTCAATCCCCAGTTCCGCAAAAAAAAAAAAAAAAAAAAAAAAGAAAAGAAAAACAAAGAAACTACTAGAAAAGGGACATTTGAATTAAAACACCAATAAAAATAGCTAATATTTCAAGACAGATTAGAAGCTTTTTAGAGCTTAACAGTGAAGAATGAGTAAACTTTGAGGGAGTTGGGAAACTGTGTAATCATGTTTTGCTGTGCATAGGAGTACAAGATTGGAAATACAGTACTACAGTACACAGGATAGGCAGTGAATGAGCTGGGATGTTAAGGTCTGGCTGTGGGAAATTACTGAAGAATTCTGAGCAGATTTACATGACAAAAGCAAAATACTGTGGCAGCAGTGTACCTAAGGACCAAGAGTGGAAAGTCTGAAGACCCTGACCTAGGGGTTACAGTAGGGGACAATGGCTTACAGGTGGGAAAGTCACCCACAACAACAGTGGAGCTATGGAATGGAAGGCAGGTAGGGTAGAGAACAGGCAGAGGACTGAAATTAGGCCTGTATGTCAGGGATAGCAAAAAGTTTCTTGAGGTAGGAAACAAATAAATAGCTGACAAAAACTGAAGGCAAACCTGGACAGTGCCCTACCACAGACACCAAGAAAGGAATGAGTTTTACTAAAAGTGATCACCAGTGTTAAGTTCTACAGTGTCTGAAAAGAATAGGATCCCTGGCAAGAGCAAGGGCCTGAGTTCAATCCCTGTTCCACAAAAAA